TGCATACAAATCTCAAACTGAGTGGAGAAGCGCAACTCCAATTTCTGTATCATAGCCATAGCTATGAATCGATGACATTTACCACTTTTCACAAGGTGCCCATAATTGACCAGGTAAACTCGATATTGGCAGGCCTAGAATGATTGCTATAGTAATGAGATAATGAACAAAAAACGAAAAAATGTTAGTTTTCCTACCTTTATTTCATGACGATATTTGCCTACTCACTGTCTCACTAGCCTCAATTGATGATAGGTGAACGTGTGTTTAGTTTTAGCTATTGAAAAATGCATACATACAGAGTTAAAATAAAGAAAGTAAAAGTAGAGTTATTCCTTTCAATGATGGATATTTTTGCCTATTATTATTTTAATACAACTGCAAGAATAAACAAACATATTCGCGCCATTCGTTGCTGTATATGCCAAACATAACAATTTCTGTCAATGAGATGCTTCTGAACTTCTGGAAAAGATAGAGTTAAGATCTTTGTTCATGGATTGTCTTTCAGCCTCCTTATGCTCATAGACAGACTTAGATACATGTCCCTTTGTTTATGCGCCTCGTGATCTAGCTTATTATTAGAAAAGTTTCTTTTTCTCCCAAAATGATATGGGAGTAGCAGTATTATTACCAGATAGTTCATTTTTGCGGTTACTAGGATACTTTGTCCAGATAAAGGGTATAAAAGTTGATACAACCTCAGACAGCGAGCTCCCTCCTCTATTTGAAAACCTACTCTTTCATGGGAGGAAGGAAGAATTCCTCACCTATTCCTCTCCTTCCCGAATCCTTGCAAAATCAGCAAGATTGAGGGCTGGGTCTTCAATCATGATGCAATAGCTATTCTTGGGACATCTGAGTTGCCTCACTGATGGTGATTATTTACCAAATTCTGAATCCTTCAAGGCTGAACTTTTCTCTGTTGTATTTAGAATAAGTGAAAGAAGGATAATAAGTAAAAATTGTACTTTTTACTCCATTAAGCTTGTAAAATTAATGCACTATAAGTCTTTTAACTTGTAATGAGATTTAAACTTGTTTAACAGGATCAATTATCATTATCCAGTGTATTTTGTAGCAACGCTAGGAATGCATCTGCTTTTAACTTGGTGAAAATTTCTGTCAGCCCCAGCAAATACTAGGGCATATATAATCTCAAATCGATGGGCCCTGCATACCTAATTCGACTAATTCAGTGGATTTTTACGCCACCAGGGAGGTTATCCTCTCTACATTCGTTTCAATGAGAAATTTGACATAAGAAGTATCCTTATATAAGATTATTCAGACAGGAACCCAGCGATTTCCATTCCACACGTTGTCCTGCCAAAAATTAGCAGTGCTAGTATAGGTTCCGGTTCTATAGAAGCAACTGATACTGTTGATGGCTAGGGACAAATTCCTAATTTCTCAGATAGAAATTCGGATGAACTGGTCTTTCTTCACAACAATGACACTCCAGGTAGTTGCAATGTCAAACTGTTATGAACGTCAGACTCATTAAGCCATCAAGTTTAATATACGAGATGTATTCAGTCCACTTCGCTTAAGGGGATGAAGAGCCGATAGTGGAATTTTACCCTTAATTATATCAGTAGGCCTTACGGGATTCGAACCCGAGTGATGCAACGTACAAGTTCGACGTGTTATTACGAGTGCGCATGGGTCACAGGCAGTTGAAATAGGAGCCCTACTCATAATATTGTGGACAAATTCAACTATGCGGCCTAAGGTAATTATGACTATTATGACTAATTAAATTAATTAGACCTACAGGACGTCTGTTTGATTCAAGATCTCTCTGAAAAGATAAAACCAATCAGCTGATACAAGTTGGAATACATGAGCTACACATCTCCAGGAACTTTTAAGTCGATCTTGTATTCGTCGTCCGTGAATAATCAAGTATATATGAGATGTGCTCACTCTAATTCGTTTAAGGCGACAAAGGACTAGTATGAAATGTATTCACCATATTTAGTTTAAAGTAATGAAGTAATGGTAGTAGAATTTTCCCACAATCATATGAGTAGAGCTGACGTTTCCATTGAATTTCACATTGCCTTGCTTTCCCAAAAGTTGTTCTCATCCAGGCACCAATGGACTGCAGTTTCTATCTTGCATCGGTCTTAGCAACACCTCCAGCGGGAGTCGAACCGTGACATTACAGATCGGGAGCTTGGCACGTTAACCACTCGACCACATTGCCACGAGTGCCCTTGGGTCAGAGAGCAGATGTGAATTTCAAGGAAGGCCAGGCCTTTTGCCATATCATATTTTCTGGTGGGGTTGTCGATGAAGCAAACGTATACTTGCTATAAAAATCAAATATGTTACTTATTTTTTGTATTTGAGTAGATTTTTGAGACTACCAGGGTGAATACATCTCATATAAATAAGTAACGTAATCGATTTATATAGCAAATATACGTTTACTTCATCGACAATCCCACCAAAGAATATGATATGGCAAAAAGGTATGGCCTTCCTTAAAATTCACATCTGCCTTGTGACCCAAGGGCACTTGTGGCAATGTGGTCGAGTGGTTAACGTGTCAAGCCCCTATTCTGCACTGTCATGGTTCGACTCCCGTTGGGGTTGTCGATAAGACCGATGCGAGGTCGAAACTGC